GGGCCGTCGGTCCGGCTCACCCTCCTGGCCTCACTTTGGTACTTCACGGCCTTTTTGGTGTCGGCCACGGCCCGTTCCACGAAGCCGACGGACTGGTCCATGTTGTTCTCGATGCGGTCGATCATGGCTCCCTACGGGGTGCGGGGGGGGGACCCCAGGGACGGGGGGAGAAAGGGGCAGCAGCAGGGAGAAGGCAGAGAGAGAGAGAGAAAGACCCCGGGGGGGACCAGGGAGGGGACACACTGAGGACACCCTCCCACCCACCTTGCGCCTCTGGCCCTGGTATAGAAGAGCTTTCTTGACCCCCTCGTTTGCCTGCTCCACGTGCTCGCTGGTGTGCAACACGTACTGCTCCACGTTATCCAGGAGCCCACCCTGTGGGGACAGGAGAGGGGACACGCTCAGCAGGGACCCCCACGGCTCGTGGCACGGCCCCCCAAGGCAGGTGGCACAAGCCCCAAGCCCACGGTGCAGGTACTCACCCGTCCCCGGTGCACACAGTGGCTCCTCGCATTGCATGGGGAGGGGGACAGAGAGGGGCTGAGAGAGGGGACGGGACCCCCACGGTGTGGGGCACACCTCTGCCTTCCCCCCCCCCCCCACCCCTCCCTCCCCCCCCCCCCCAACACCCCCCCACACCCCAGGTTTGGGTGCTGGGTGGCCCCATGGGGACCTGTGCGCTGGTCACCACCCAGCCCCACGTGGCTCCGTGGCAGGATCACCCTGCACCGGGCCCTGTGGTGCCCTGGGTGGCCCCAGGAAGGTGCCCACGTGGCTCCGTGCCACCCCGTGTCCCCATGGAGCCCTGTGCAGCCCGGAGTGCCAGTCCCCGGGTGGCTTCGTGCAAGGTCCCTGCTCGTCCCCGTGCAGCCTGTGCATTTGTCCCAGCTTGTCCCCACGCAGCCCATGCTCAAGTCCCTTCTTGTCCCCATGAATTCCCTTCCACAGGCTCCTTCTTGTCCCCATGCAGCCCTTGAAGAGGTTCCTTCTTGTCCCCATGCTCAGGTCCTTTCTTGTCCCCATGCACAGGTCCCTGCTTGTCCCCATGAATTCCCTTCCACAGGCTCCTTCTTGTCCCCATGCAGCCCTTGAAGAGGTTCCTTCTTGTCCCCATGCTCAGGTCCTTTCTTGTCCCCATGCACAGGTCCCTGCTTGTCCCCATGAATTCCCTTCCACAGGCTCCTTCTTGTCCCCATGCAGCCCTTGAAGAGGTTCCTTCTTGTCCCCATGCTCAGGTCCTTTCTTGTCCCCATGCACAGGTCCCTGCTTGTCCCCATGAATTCCCTTCCACAGGCTCCTTTGTGTCCCCATGCACAGGTCCTTTTTTGTCCCCATGCTCAGGTCCCTGTTTGTCCCCATGCAGCTCATGCACAGATCCCTTCTTGTCCCCATGAATTGCCTTCCACAGGCTCCTTCTCGTCCCCATGCTTAGGTCCCTTCTTGTCCCCATACACAGGTCCCTTCTTGTCCCCATACACAGGTCCCTGCTTGTCCCCATGCAGCTCATGCACAGGTCCCTTCTTGTCCCCACAAATTCCCTTCCACAGGCTCTTTCTTGTCCCCATGCTGAGGTCCCTTTTTGTCCCCATACACAGGTCCCTTCTTGTCCCCATGCAGCTCATGCACAGGTCCCTGTTTGTCCCCATGCTCGGGTCCCTTCTTGTCCCCATGCAGCTCATGCTCAGGTCCTTTCTTGTCCCCATGCACAGGTCCCTGATGATCCCCATGCAGCCCTTGAACAGGTCCCTTCTTGTCCCCATGCACAGGCACCTGCCTATGGAGGGGACACTGGGGGACACCAGGGCCGTCGGTCCGGCTCACCCTCCTGGCCTCACTTTGGTACTTCACGGCCTTTTTGGTGTCGGCCACGGCCCGTTCCACGAAGATGCTCAGGTCCCTTCTTGTCCCCATGCACAGTTCCCTGTTTGTCCCCATGCACAGGTCCCTGCTTGTCCCCATGCAGCTCATGCACAGGTCCCTTCTTGTCCCCATGCACAGGTCCCTGCTTGTCCCCATACACAGGTCTCTGGTTGTCCCCATGCAGCCCTTGAACAGGTCCCTTCTTGTCCCCATACACAGATCCCTGCTTGTCCCCATACACAGATCCCTGCTTGTCCCCATACACAGATCCCTGCTTGTCCCCATACACAGATCCCTGCTTGTCCCCATACACAGATCCCTGCTTGTCCCCATACACAGATCCCTGCTTGTCCCCATACACAGATCCCTGCTTGTCCCCATACACAGATCCCTGCTTGTCCCCATACACAGATCCCTGCTTGTCCCCATACACAGATCCCTGCTTGTCCCCATACACAGATCCCTGCTTGTCCCCATACACAGATCCCTGCTTGTCCCCATACACAGATCCCTGCTTGTCCCCATACACAGGTCCCTTCTTGTCCCCATACACAGATCCCTGCTTGTCCCCATGCTCAGATCCCTTCTTGTCCCCATACACAGGTCCCTGATGATACCCATGCACCCCTTGAACAGGTCCCTTCTTGTCCCCATGAAACCCATGCTCAGGTCCCTTCTTGTCCCTATACACAGGTCCCTGATGATCCCCATGCAGTCCTTGAACAGGTCCCTGCTTGTCCCCATGCTCAGCTCCCTTCTTGTCCCCATGCACAGGTCCCTGGTTGTCCCCATGCAGCCCTTGAACAGATCCCTTCCTGTCCCCATGCTCAGGTCCCTTCTTGTCCCCATACACAGGTCCCTTCTTGTCCCCATGAACCCCATGCTCAGGTCCCTTCTTGTCCCCATACACAGGTCCCTTCTTGTCCCCATGAACCCCATGCTCAGGTCCCTTCTTGTCCCCACGCACAGGTGCCTCTTGTCCCCACAACCCCATGCACAGGTCCCCGGAGGAAGGGGTGTTCCCCGTGCCCCCCGTACCTGGTTCTCCACCAGCATGGCGATGTCGACGAACATGTCGTGCAGCTCCTTGATGCTGCTCTCCAGCCGCACAATGTCCTTGTGCCGCCCCTCAATCTCGCTCAGCGCCTGCTTGGAGATCTGCGAGTCCATGATCTGTAACGGAACCGGGGTTGGGGGGGGGTGGTCGTCAGTTGAGGTGGGGGGGGGTCCTGGCACCCCCCCCTTGCAGTGTGTGTCCCCTGGTGTCCCCCCATCGTGGTGTCGCTCACCCCCGAGGTGAAGATGGAGGGGTTCCCGCTCTCCAGCATCTCCTCCAGCTCCTCGTCTGTCGTGTTCTTGCCGGCTGGGGGCACGTGGGGACAGACCACGCCCATTTT